GAAGTAAAACTCAGAACTATCACTGTATGATCGAATTCTTTTATATTAAATGCTTTGCTGAAGCAATATTTAAAAAACGAGCACATGATGATCTCTTTTAARTCTTTATATGAGTTTCAAGACTTGATTACTTATAATTGCAAATTTATTATTAAGAAACTATTGTATTTTTTTAATATAGTAAATAGCAATGTTGCAATTTCATTTCTGCGAAATAAGGGACCCCTCCCTGGTGAATTCCTTAAATAATTTTTAGGCTGAATTTCGATTGGGTTTTTAAGATTTGTTTGACATTAATTTTGAATAAAAATGAATTTTTTATTATAAAAACCATAAGAATACCTTAAATAATTTTTCAAAGAATATGTTAGTTTTTGCCCATTTGATAAATCATAGGGTACTCCATACGTCAAGTATTGAACCAAAATCGTTGAGCAGGTGCCAGGCTGCACACAAGAAAAGCAGTAACTGAAAAACAGTAAACGGGCCGGCCACCAAGCAAAGAATTCGAACTCAACCGAAGCCAGAGGTTACGAATCAAAAAGAAGTCAGACAGAAACGAAACGCGCCAGAGAGAGCTTTCTTGCTCCTCGCCTTTGTTTTTAGGGTTTCTGCTTCTAGGGTTTTWTGATTTATCAATGAAGCTTGCAGGGTTGAAATCGATCGAAAATGCTCATGAAGAATCAGTATGGGCTGTCACCTGGGTTCCTGCAACTGATGCCCGGCCTGCTCTTCTGCTCACTGGCTCCCTCGACGAGACTGTGAAGTTATGGCGACCAGACGAGCTCGTCCTGGAGGGTACTAATACAGGGCACTGCCTCGGCGTGGTCTCGGTTGCTGCCCATCCTTCCGGTGTTATCGCAGCTTCTGCTTCTCTCGATAGCTTTGTTCGGGTTTTCGATGTCGATACGAACGCCACAATTGCCACTCTCGAAGCTCCACCATCAGAAGTCTGGCAAATGAAGTTTGATCCTAAGGTTAATAACCTTCACCTTTCCTATGCTTACTTCGTAATCCCAGCTTCTCACGGGTTTCTGATAGTGTTACGCGAAAAATTAGTATTTAGACATTGTTTTTTTTTTTTTATCATTTTTCCCTGTTCTTTGATGCATAGTCGATAGAAGGGTTGACCAATTATTTGCTTGCCTGACTCTGTTTTTCTTAATGTCAACGCCAAATGGTGTTTGTATTGGTGCATGACAACTCCAGTGGGTTAAAATATTCAAAACCCAATTAACTTCTGAGCTCCAACCTAGTTCGGAGTGCTCAATTTGAGATTAGGCTTCTAAGTTTTACGTGGAAACACCTACCTCCTCTAGGTACCACAGAGCTAAATTCTGATGGATGTTCTACAGGTACTGCAATTCTGGTTTCCACTTATCTGCATTGATTAAGTCGTTAGCCCAAACTAGATTGTTCATCATTGTGGTTGGGGCCTTGGAGGATAATTCCAAAGTCATGATTAAATGGATGAAAGAGGGAGGAGAGGGATTTTTGCCTCAAGAGCGAATCTGGAAGGATTTTATGGGAACAGTAACTGTGGGGTAGTCTTGGRGCGTCTATTTTGAGAACTGACCTATGGTTTTTCTTAACTCATTTATGGGACTTCCCTACTTTGACACTTTAATTTTCTTAACCATTAAAAAAGAGTACCTTGGAGAAACAATCCCTATTGCACAAATATTACCATTTTATACTTTCTCTAGCTGAGGGCTGTGCAATGACGATTCTATGTTCAAGGAATACAGAAAAACCTTTATTTCATAATTGATTGCCAGAATCAGACTGCTCATTAGCTGTCTGTAGACAACCGAAATTAGAAATCACAGTCATATGCAAACACAAATATATACACAATTTGAAGGTATTGGCAGGATTTTTGTTCTTTGCCATTGGGTATGAACTCTTTATTCATAAATATTGATCATCAACGCACTTACATGCTAAAAGGGTCACACTGCAGATTTAACAAATGTTTATAGCCATTCCACTTTTCACTTGAAAACTCTTCTGATACATCATGGTAATAGCASTAGTATTGTTTTGGGTAGTTAAATTCATCAGCCTCCAAAATACACATGAAAGCTAATCTTACATGTTCATGTGTAGAAGATTGTCTCCTGGTTACCCACACTCTAATTTTTGGCAATACTT